GGGGGGGAAGGGGGGCACTTTTCGGCGAGGAATCATAGACCCAGTCGAGGACATCCAATCAGATGTGGTCGAGCCAGGCAAGGCTACGGCCAGACGGGTAAAGCCCGGCCACGGAAAATGCCCCCAAGGAGTGGCAGGATAGCGGCCTTGTTCGCAAGGCGTCAAACGAAGTTGAACCTTGGAAGTGTCTGGGAGCCTGACTGGCTTGGCTGATATCCATGGATGGGGCGAGCAACTCAGGCCAGTGGAGCCCCCGAAGCCCCCCCAGCTTGCCCACTAGACCGCGCCTGCTCTAGCGCGTTACTACCAGAGCTCCCAGCGGGCCAAGGCACAAGCAGACCAACCACTTTACGCGCACCGCGTCTTTTCCCCAAGGCTGATTGATCTTCAAGCTCCAGCTTCCCATTTATCAAACCCAGACGGAAGAAAAACCCGGCCAGCGGCTGACTTCACCACGCCACCAATTCACCAACCGACCGAGACTGCTCCCATCCCCAAGCACTCGCCAGTTTCGCTCATTCCCCGCCCACAGAGATAGCCCGCCATGGCGCCCGCTACGGTTGAAGATGTCGAGAGTCAGTTCCATCACCACCATAATCACCATCACCCCGTGTCGAGAGAAGAGGTCGTGTTAACATGCGCTCAGTGGACTCCGCCCCCTACGACGTCGAGGAGGACGAGGCCCAGCGCCTCATCAACGAGGAGTACAAGACCTGGAAGAAGAACGCGCCATTCCTCTATGACATGATCCTGAGGTACGTCTACCGCGGCGCAACGCCCCGCCCCCCGTTTCGTCTGTCGCGTGCCGGACCCTATGCTCACATGTTGCAGCACCGCCCTGACCTGGCCCACCCTGACCGTTCAGTGGTTCCCCGATGTCAAGGAGCCCGAAGGCAAGAACTGCCGCATCCACCGCGCCCTGCTCGGCACCCACACCTCCGAGGGCAAGCAGAACTACCTCCAGATTGCCGAGGTTGAGATCCCAAAAGACGTCAAGGCAAACCCCAAGGACTTCGACGAGGAGCGCGGCGAGATTGGCGGCCATGGCAAGATCGACAAGAGCGCCGTCAAGTGGAATATCGTCCAGAAGATCGACCATCCCGAGGAGGTCAACAAGGCCCGCTACTGCCCCCAAAACCCGGACCTGATTGCCACCCTGGCTACAAACGGCAACATCCTCATATTCGACCGCACCAAGCACAGCAATACCCCCAACGGCAAGGTCAACCCCCAGATCGAGCTTCGCGGCCACGAGAAGGAGGGCTTCGGCCTGAGCTGGAACCCCCATGTCGAGGGCTCCCTGGCCACCGGCAGCGAGGATATGACTGTCCGCCTGTGGGACCTCAAGTCTCTAGAGACCGGCAAAAACATTCTGAACCCCGCCCGCACCTTCACACACCACACCAACATCGTCAATGACGTCCAATACCACCCCATCTCAAAGAGCTTCATTGGCTCTGTTTCCGATGACTTGACTCTGCAAATCCTCGATGTCCGCCAGCCGTCCGACACCCAATCCTCCCTCATCGCCAAGAATGGCCACAGCGACGCTATCAACGCGCTAGCATTCAACCCCTCGACTGAGATCCTGGTCGCCACGGCCTCGGCCGACAAGACTATTGGCATCTGGGATCTGCGCAACGTCAAGGAGAAGGTTCACACCCTGGAGGGACACCAGGATGCCGTGACTTCCATATCGTGGCACCCGCACGAGGCCGGCATCCTTGGCAGTGCCAGCTACGACCGAAGAATCATCTTCTGGGATCTTGCACGAGTTGGCGAGGAACAGCAGCCCGATGACCAAGAAGATGGTCCGCCTGAGCTGTAAGTCAAAACGTTTCACATTCTTCGCCTGCATGCATGTTACTAATACCTTGATCCAGTCTGTTCATGCACGGTGGCCACACCAACCACCTTGCCGACTTCAGTTGGAACCTGAATGAGCCATGGCTAGTCGCCAGTGCCGCCGAGGACAACATGCTGCAGGTCTGGAAGGTCGCCGATTCCATCGTAGGCAAGGATGAAGGCGACATCAGTCTCGATGAGATGGGCAGATAGGGAATGCCCCCAACAAGTTACCGATGGTTGGACTAGAGCGTGCTAAAAACAAGACGAGGCCTCCGCTGCAGGATTGGCTTGTCATGAGAATTTTGCCGATGGATTGATGAGACGACGCACAATGGATCAGATCCTTGCGGTTGGTATCAAACCTACCCAAAGGGGTTCATGGTGCGAAACAGATACCCGAAATCCGGTGTTTCCTTCAGAGCACGGGAACATTACGACATGCTGCTTGTTGATGGGCAGCTTATTTACAAGGCTGCTTGGTGTGTAGATAAAATTCTACACTTTCTGAATGAAAAATTCCTGATATTCTACCTGATCCCTGTTCGCGACCTTTGGCAACAAGACTGGAAAAGTTGAAGCGTACCGGCTTAGAGTCCCAGCGGATCTTACACGTGCGAGGGTCAAAGGTCCAACCTGGGTATATGTATTGCGAGTCAACGGAAATCCACGGGCTTCCACGCCATCTCACACATTGCTTGCATGTATCTAGAGTTGCCAGGTCGTGATACCTCTGAGTTTTGGCCCGGAACGGCGGATTATCCACTGCGGTGCCACCACTGCTTCAGGTGTTGTGTGCTAAGGACTTCGCAAAATTGGATCACCAAAATATAAATGGTGTCCTAGGATCGATCAGCGCTTTGCTAGGAAGCTAGTCTAATTCAAAGCAGACGAGTCACCTGCTATACTCCAAAGAAGGACAAATGTTCTATTCTTCGCAACCACTTGTCTTTAACGCTTTGTTAGAGTATCGCTAAAGTATCAAAACAGCCGGGCAGACGTGCAAGTATAACAGCCAGGCTAAGAGAACCGACAAATGGTCGCTAAATGGCAATGCTTGCTAGTATTGTAAGGGGTAATAAAGCATTAGACGCCGTTCGAAACATAACTCACATATCCAAGTACACTGGATATGTTGGCATGCCATCATAATGAGTTGCGGATCACCGGTTGATTAAGTAATTGTTGTTTGGCCGACCCATTTGGCATAACGGTTTGTGGAGTCGCCGCAGTGGAGTTGTGCTCCATGTCAGGGCCCATGGATTTCCTTCGCGTCCACCGCTGTGGGATGATAGCACCTAAAGAGTCTTGTGGCCCGTTGGGGAACAGTTGTATGACACTACCTACACTATTGAGAAAAGTGCCTCATTCGCGAGGTACCAGAAATGTCTGAGACAACGGCGCTGTGCTTCTGCATTGCCAGAGGTTGTTGCGCAGAAAGCAAGCACTTTCCCGGCTTCTTACCCCGCCCCAGGCGCGTGTTGCGCAAGATTGCTCTTGTCATTGTGTGCTATGTAAATCCGTCGAGATCTGGAATTCCAAGAGGGGGAGAACTTGGTCAATTATCTTCGATTGCAAGGGTCCTCGCTCCGTAGCGCTTACCACGAGTGAATAGATGCAGCTCACCTCTGTGGGGCCGAGGCGAGTAACCCTTGACTATGGAGCCAATATACCGCCTAGTTGCTTTTCTCCCAATCGTCGTGGATTTTGTGACATGCAGGATGGGTTGATCTAAAACCAATTTTTTATGTTGCACACCGTTATCTGTCAGATCCACCGCGCGTCAAGTGAATTATTATCTTTTTCCTTTGCAACCACAGTCTCTCCCCACTCATCTTTCCCTCACCACCCTCATAACTACAAATCCGGCTGCTAAGTAGAATGGCGGAATTTCTCATCAAGGACGAGGACCTCAGTCACATCAAGGGAAAGGTGGTGATTGTTACGGGTAGGCAGATCTATCACTGCAGAGTTTCTGACGTTCTTACGAGGTGTGACTTTGAGAAGGCTGACATAGCGTACCTTTATAGGAGGCTCATTCGGTATAGGCCTAGCAACCGCCAATTTGCTCCTCTCGTTGGGAGCTTCCGTCGTTAATGGTGATATCCAGCCTCCAGCGGAGGCTGAATCACACGGGGGTGCTCTCACTTTCGTGGAGACCGATGTGACCCGGTGGGCAGACCTAGTTGCGCTCTTTAGGAAGGCCAAGGAGGTCCATGGCCGGATTGATCATGTCTTCGCCAATGCCGGCATCGGTCCTCGCGCCGACTACCTGTCAACGGCCGTAGATGAGAACGGTGACTTGAAGGAGCCTACGTATGATCTGCTGGACGTTGGACTCAAGGGCCTTATGAATACAGCTACTCTTGCTGTGTATTACATTCGTCAGCAAGCTGAAGGTGGCAGCATCGTGCTGAACGGCTCTACGACTGGCTTACAACGTCTCAGAGCAGTTGATTATGGTAAGTCTAGATTCACACCACCCAAGAGTCAATGGGCTGACGATTGATGACACAGCTACTGCCAAACATGGTGTCTTGGGCTTCGGCAGAGGTCTGAGTACGCTCGTCAAAGTGGCTGGGCTCCCAATCCGGGTCAATACTCTGACGCCAACCTGGACGGACAGCAATGTTCTCCCAAACCTGAAGCAGATGATGGATAAGATTGGTGTTGAGGTGCAGCCTCCGTCGGCTGTCGGCCGTGCTGCAATTGCCATGATGGCCGATTCCTCCAGGCATGGACACGTAATACACATTGCGCGGGGGCGATACAAGGAAATTGATGAGGCAGTGCTCTTGCCTGCCTTTGAGTCTATAAAGGGAGACTATCCCTGGGAGGATGATGTGCTCCGCCGACTGATGGAGGCCACGGCCAATTAGGCTCAAGCTCAATTGTAAGCGTGTCAACTTTCGCGGAAAATATGTCGGGCATTCTCGTCGAGTGGCCTAACCTTCATTAAGAAGAAGTACTAGTCAATAGAGGACTTTTCCAGCACAGTTGTCCATTTGTTCCTAGCAGAGTCCTAATTCAAATATTCCACAAGTGCCTTCGTTTTGTTTTGTTCAAGTGGGATTGCAAAACGGGTGCATCTTCCTCCTATGATATGCATATATGTATTTTGGTGTGATGTGACCCTGCTACAGCTCTAGAAATGCGTGTTTTGAGCAAGTTCACCTGAATAGTTAGCATGGCATAGTTAATAAGGCATAATCAACAAGGCATAATCAACAAGGCATTCATGGACCCTAGGATCCTCGGAATACTCCTGGGTTTCAGTCCCCGTGAAGAACCCC